GGCATCCAGGAGGGCTTCCTGGAGGAAGGAACATCTGAGCTGAGTTTACAGGACAAATAGGACTTCACCAAATGAACAAGCCCCTTGTACTCCAGACCCATTTATCCTTTTTTAATGTTTTCTTGACTGTACAAAGACAATTAACTATATGGATCATAACAAATTGTGACTAACATTGAGAAGAATGAGAATCCCAGAATACTTAATTCTGTTTATAAAAAACCTAGATCAAGAGGCTCTGTTTGAATAGAGCAAAGAAACACTAGTTTAAAAATCAAGAAAAGTGTGTCAGGGTTGTATCTTTTCTCTTTAGCTATTCAGTCTGTATGTTGAGCAAATCATATGAGAAGCTGGACTCCGATGAAGAATGTGGCATCAGGATTGGAGGAAGACTCACCAGCAACTTGCATTACGATGATGACATAGCCTTGCTTGTTGAGAATTGAGGAGGACTCGAAGTGCTTGCTGCACACCAGAGACTATAGGCTTCAATTATAGATTACATCTCAACTTCAAGAAAACAAACATTCTTACCACTTGACCTATAAGCAACTTCAAGATAGATGGAGAAAGGATTGAAATCATCAACACATTCATCTTACTTATATCCACATTCTATACCCTTGATATCAGCTTTGAACATACCTACTGTGCAGGATCTCTCCAAATTATTGAGGAGCAGTGATATCAGTTTGAAGACTAAGGTGTGTCTTCTCAATCTGTTGACATGCATCTGAGAGCTGGACAATGAATAAGGATGACAGAAGAATTGATTACCTTTGAGTTGTGGTGTTGAAGAAGAGCATTGAACACCCCATGAACTGTCAAAAGAACCCACAAGCAACAGTTATATCTTGGAAAGAGTGCAACCAGACTGCTCCTTGGAGGTAAAGCCAACAGAGCTTTTTCTTAGATACTTTGGGCATGCTGCTAGGAGAGACTATAGTCCTTGAAAAGGGACATCAGTCTTGGAAAGGTGGCGGATCTTAGCCTAACAGGTTTTTTTGTTGAGTCTGAGGTTTTCTGTGTACATTATAATATTGCCCGCATATAGCGAGAGTTTTACCCCCTCTTTGCCACTTTGGATGCCCCTTTTTTCCCCTACTCTCGTCATATTGCCCTAGCAAGTACTTCCAATACAATATTGAACAAAAGTGGTGACAGTGGGCATACTTGCCTGGTCTGTGTTCTCAGGGGGAATGTCTTTAGTCTCTCTCCATTGAGAATGATGTTAGCTCTTGGTTTTGTGTATATTACTTTCCACTGTTTGTTGTTAGGTGCCTTCGAGTTGCCTGCAACTCATAGCAACTGTATGTACAACTGCCCTAACCCCTGATCTATCCTGTGCTGACCTCACTGTCTCTGACACACCCACCCTGATTACCCCAGTCACTGAATCAATCCACCTCATAGAGGGTCTTCCTCTCCTGCACTGTTCCTCCACCCTCCCAAGCATGATGTCCCTCTCCAAGGGCTGGTCCCTCCTTACGACATGTCCAAAGTATGTCAGACAAAGCTTCAGAATCCTTGCCTCCAAGGAGCAGCCTGGTTTAACCCTCTCTAGGA